TTTATTGCGTATTATTGGCCATAAGGAGCCGCCATTGAATTTATCATAGTTTTTAGTCCTCCATCGACTATCCTCGGCAGGGCATCAAACTCGACCTCGAGGCCCCGAATACACAAGCTTGAGGCCCCGATTATTAGCCATTCGGTTTGATTATCACATTGTTTTCAAGCTATTATCTTGTTTCCAAGCCTTTCACTTAGTATCCATTGCCTAACAACTAGCATAAAAATAGATCGCGTACTTTTAGAACCACAAAATCAAATCTAATTGTAATTACCATTTTCAAGGTAAACAGACAGGACTTTTCGTTCACTTCGAACGCCTACATCATGGAAATGACATCATCACTAAAGACTTCGGGAAAACGAGGATCAAATCGTTTCTTATCATCTTACTCTAACAAATGCGGGGACTATCTGTATACGGTTAAAATTGTATGCCTCTGACTTATAGGATCGAGGGCCCATCCTAAGTCCGAGTCCGGGCAAGATCAAGTTCGAGCTTGAGGGACCAAACCCAAGTTCGAAAGTGGAGCACGATGCATACCGAGGTCGAGTGTGCTCGACCCCAAAATAGCACCGTTATGGATTTATACCACAACGAGTTAGATTCCTGCCACGTCCCCAAAGTCATGGTGCAAATCTCGGAATATGATTGTACGATTCCGTACTAGGTAATTAGACAGTTGTACCAAGAATATTCCTTATTGTAAATAGAAATATTCCTTATTTAAGGTTCCCCTATTATATAAAAGGGATCTCAATCATTTGTAAGATCATCTGATCATTGAGCAAAGAATATACTCTCTACTTTTTGCCTACTGTTCATCAGAAATGTCCTTTAGCTTTATATTGTTCTTACTTTGTTTTTCATGCTTAATTGTTCTTACTGCCCTAAGCTACCTCGAGGCCATTAAGCTCGAGGTCACTGTTGTTGAGTAACACTGGTTTGATTTACTTGTCTCTTTCACTTCTACTTTATAGTTCTTGATTATTAATTGATATTGAACTAAATCACATATCTTTAGAACCACTAATCAAATTTAATTATTACTCGTATTTTCGAGGTAAGCACATAGGGATGGATCCTGAGATGGATTGATGTTGGCAACATCCTATGTTTGCCCAAGTAATCAGATAAAAACCTAGCATGTTCATCCATAATTTTTTTTTTGTAGTCCAGCTTGAGCGCACCTTGACTAATTCCACGGGATGCCTACTACTTCCCACCAGCACAAGAACTGACTCTATCCATCAAGGCTTGGACACATGAAAAGAAATTACCTAGTATTTTTGCCTCTACTGGAAGTTGAACCTATAACCTCATGGTTCTCAACCCACTCCATTGATCACTAAGCCACACCCTTGGGTGGACGTTCATCCATAATTATCTCACACATGAACAAAATCTAATTCTTGCTAAACATATTGCAGCACACTTAAGACACTAGCACAAGACTCAATGATAGGAAAACTCATCCCATATTCATTGGCCATATAAACACAAAGAAGTGAGGTAATGACTGCAAGTTGAGTAAATCTAGCTCACGAAAAACTAAAGGAGGAGGAATTTTAAGCTAGCGTTTGGCCATAGATTCCAAATTTGTTTTGAAAAATCTAATTTGGGTGAAGTTTGATTTGAAGATGAAAATGTGTTTGGACATACGTTTTCAAAAAATATTTTCCAACTTTATTTTGGAAAAACATGTATATAATTCCCAAGTTTGGGAATTTTGCCAAAATGTGTGCAAAATTTATGGCCAAACATAAGTTTTGAAAATAAATCCCAAATTTATTTTGGCGAAACTCATGGCCAAACCGGGCCTAAGTCATCTCATTCAAGTACAAATTGAAATGTTATAATCAGGTCTCCCATCAGTAAAGAGGCTTCAAACCCTCCTAAACAAAAATTATACAGAAAATGAAGTTACCCAAAATTGGCTATTGACTTAGGGGTGGCAAAATCATCCCAAACCCATTTGACCCACCTAATCCGCTCAAGTCTTATAGCTTGTTTGGTCACACTGTAAAAATCAGCTTATTTTGATAAGTGTTTTTTTTCAAAAGTGTTTTTCTCTAAAGTACTTTTGGTGAGAAGCAGTTTGTGTTTGGCTAATTAGTTTGAAAAGCACTTCTGAGCAGCAATTAGTGTTTGGCCAAGCTTTAAAAAAGTGCTTTTAAGTGTATTTTTCTCAAAAGTACTTCTCAAAAAAGTGCTTTTGGAGAGAAGTTACTTTTTTCTGCTTTTCCAAAACTGCTTCTGCTTCTCCTCAAAAGCACTTTTTTCCTTCCAAAAGCTTGGCCAAACACCTCAATTTTTTGTCAAAAGTGTTTTTGGCCAAAAAAAAAAAAGCACTTTTGCCCAAAAATAAACTTGGCCAAACATGCTATTAATGGGTTGGGCAACATGTATTTTGCTGGTTTGGCTAATTTATTGGGCTATGCCCAAAGTGACCCATAAAATAATGTCAGCCCATATTGACCCGTGTAAGTGCCCATCTCTGACCTGTGGGATTCCAAAACATAGACCCACTAACTCCCACGTCACAGTTCATTAGTTAGACATAATGAATGATCAAATGTCCATTGACGTTAAAACCCTTAATTTTTAAACAGTGACAACTTTTTACTTTTTACTTTTGATGTTTGATATATAATAATGTATGGAAATTGATATGATACAGCACATTAAGACTCATTGTGGTCATGACTTTCATACTTTTAATATCTTTGACTTGAATAGGAAATACATACTAAAAAGTGCATAGGGTGATCTTATATTATTATTTGTAGAGTAATATCTTTGAAAAAGATCAATTTTATAAAACTAAAAAATAAACAATAATTATGTTTGATAAAACAATAAGTACGTAAAATTTTAGTATAAAGTACAAACTGATGTGAAACTTAGGTACATGGAACTAAAACTTAATTAATCTATAGGACACGCTCAGTCTTGATTTACGACAAAAAAATAATTATTTTTCTTTAAACTAGAAAATGGGAACAATACTAATAAACAAAACTCAAACTATTTTACACCAAGATCGAGTTCGATTTGGCTGATGGCATTCTATAGGTTTAGCATGAATATGTAAAACTTGCACGGGGCGTCTTATTTGGTCGCCCCTTTTTAACTTATACCTGTTTTGTTTTTCCGTTTGTATTCATATCCATTTTTTTGTTAAAAGCATTTTAAAAATACGATTTTGCCCTTCTTTAGTAAAAGACTATTGACAAACTGCAGGACAAAAACTTAAGCATGTTTAACTGAAGTTTTAGCAAATGAATTAGAAGACATCAGCTTGTTTAGACTGAAGTTTCGGATAAAACTCAGGACAAAACTGTAGACTGCATTACAAAATTTCAGCATGTTTTGGTATGAAGTTTTAGCAAATGAACTAAATAACTTCAGCATACATTAGCAAAAACTCTTTAGAAAATTACATACAGCAAGACAAAAATTTAAGCATGTTTAGCCTGAAGTTTTAGCAAATGAACTAAAAAACTTAAGCATGTTTAGTTAGAAAATGAACTAAATAACTTCAGCATGTTTTGTCTAAAGTTTTAGCAAATGAACTAAATAACTTCAGCATGCATTAGCAAAAACCCATTAGAAAATTACATACTGCAAGACAAAAACTTAAGCATGTTTAGCCTGATGTTTTTGCAAATGAACTAAAAAACTTAAACATATTTAGTCTGAAGTTTTAGCAAATGAACTAAATAACTTAAGCATGTTTAGTCTGAAATTTTAGCAAATGAACTAAATAACTTCAATATATTTAGTCTGAAGTTTTAGCAAATGAACTGAATAACTTTAGCATGTTTAGACTGAAGTTTCGGATAAAACTGATGACAAAACTGTAGACTGTGGGATAAATAACTTCAGCATGCATTAACATGAAGTTTTAGCTTCAATGTGAAACAACTTCATGCTATATTAGCATGAAGTTTTAGCTTCAACATGAAAAAACTTCATGCTACATTAGCATGAAGTTTTAGCTTCAACATGAAATAACTTCATGCAAGTGTGATTCTGAAGATGAATTTGGACAAGTTTCTGATTTTTTGATAAAGCTGCTGAGAGGAGAGGAGGAGATCTTTTTTCACGAATGAGGTTACAGATCACGCGATTAATGCGTGATGCAGGTTTTATATCTTTTGTCAAGGTTGTAATTGCCACATTATTACAGATTTTTTGTCAACTGGCTACAAATCAATAATTTTTAAAAATAAAGTACAGGTTAAATGTGGCACAAATATAAGGTACGACTGCAAATCCCCATGAATATTTATTATTGGGTTGAGTTGGGTGGGTTGGGCTATGACCTATTGTTTAGCCCATCTTAACCCAACCCATCTTAGTCCATTGGGCTGGATTGGACAATAACCCATTTATTGATGCTACCCATTTAGACCCGTCCATCCAACCCGCCCATTTGCCACCCCTAGCTATTGTTAGAAACCAAAATATCGTTCTGACTACAATATATACTTTGTACACCATTAGAAAAGATAGATTCGTGAAGGTCATCAATCTAGTGACAATTTACAGAAGTATAACAGCCAGGCCTATGTATCACGGTTTGAAATCTTAGAAGACTCAAATAGAATGTTATCTCCTCATGCTCATGAGAATAGCAACAGAAATTAGATATCTTTTCTGCTAATCTAGAAGTGGATACCAAGCCTAGGCCTGGATATTCAAGTTGCAAAGCTACACATAATTTCCTAATAGCAACAACATGAAGGGAAAATACATCAATCCAATGGGACATGACATGTCCAATGGAGAACATTTCCTACAAGGATGCGCTTCAATAGAAGAAAATCAAAAAGACATACAGTTACACTGGCAGAGTAATTATAGCATTAGTTTTGTAGGTTTAACAATATGGGCAGTTTTGCTACAATATGGCGCAAGAGTTCCAATCATCTGTATTCCCAGTCACTTAGGGAGACTTAAATTTAATAGTTTCAGCAAAACACACATTCTGATATTTAAATGTAAAACAACTCGCTTCAATTATCAGGTACAAAGTTAAGAAATTAATCTCAAATGAAACAAAGAAAAAATGATCATGTTTCAATCAAGTCTTTTAACCTTACCAGTATATAAAAAAAAATCTAAATACCATATAGGTGTAGGTACTAGATAACGAAACAACAGACACATCTCACCTTAACTGAACTTGAAAGACCCACAAACTCAAATCTATAACAAGATCAGACATTTTAACTAACAATCAGAAGTCGAACTATGACAACGAAATGGCGTAACTACCAAATGGTTCTACCACTTGATCACTGGCAAAGCTGTTCAACTGCAGTAACAATCTGGGGAGGTTGGACAACAGTCCAGTTCTCTAACGTCCCAGCATACGGGGTTGGCACATCCTGTGATGACAGACAAACAATTGGGGCATCTAAATAGTCATGGAAGTTCTCAGTTATAGCGGCTGTCAAGCTGGCACCAATACCTCCTGTCCGCATACATTCCTCAACGATGAGCACACGGTGAGTTTTCTTCACTGAATTTCCGATGGTGTGAAGGTCAAATGGTTTCAATGACCTGATATCAATGACCTCAGGATCATAACCCTTGTCCACAAGGGTCTTCGCAGCCTGCATCACGTGATACCTCATCCTGGAATAAGTTAAAATGGTAACATGCTCCCCAGGTCTTACCATCTCTGCTTCTTCAAGATTCAACACGTACTCTTCGTCTGGAATTCTCTCCTTGAGGTTGTAGAGCAAAACATGCTCAAACAGAATCACAGGGTTGTCACTCCTAATAGCCGCCTTCATCAAGCCCTTGGCATTGTAAGGGGTTGAGCAGGCAACCATTTGGATTCCAGGAATTGACTGGAAATATGACTCGAGGCGCTGAGAGTGCTCTGCTCCAAGCTGTCGACCAACTCCACCAGGACCTCGAATGACGACTGGTATCTTAAACTGGCCACCAGATGTGTAGTGGAGCATACCACAGTTGTTAGATATCTGGTTGAAGGCTAGAAGAAGAAATCCCATGTTCATTCCCTCAATAACTGGACGCAGGCCAGTCATTGCAGCACCAATTCCCATACCAGTGAAAGAGTTCTCAGCAATGGGAGTGTCGAGAACCCTGAGATCACCATACTTTGGAGCAAGGCCTTTAGTCACCTTGTACGAACCTCCATAATGGCCGACATCTTCACCCATTACACAAACAGTAGGATCTCTGTCCATCTCTTCTTCAAGCCCTTCGCGGAGGGCCTCAAAGAGCAACAGTTCATGCCTAAAGATGTACAATTCAATCACATAAGTGGTGTGGTCAGGCAACAAGAAAGCCAGGATAAAGAACAATCAGGTACATGAACAATTGGGCAGTAATTGATAAAGTTCACACCACGACATTAAAAAATAAGAGAAAAGAGTGCATATCTGATAAGCCAACAAAGATCTATTCAGTGACGCAAGTTTAATGATTAAGCAAGCACACTATAAAATTCTTTTAAAACCACGGACATAATCTATCCTGAATAATTAGGAAGACTCATATCCCATCAAGGAAGCACATACAACTCAAATACATCCAAAGATAATGTTGGTTATGACTAACATCAAAACTAAACGAGCTGTTTCGCCCTTAAACAACCAGATCGGTAACAGAAATACCTGGAATCCCACAGCAGGAATCTTATGCATTAGGAAGAGAGAATGAATAAGGGACCTCTATACTAGCTTATGGTCGCCCAAATCATTCATGTAATTAGAATCTCAGAACCCAACAAAGCAGAAAGGAAAAACCAAAAGCTCAACAAGTTTGAAGTAGGAAAGTAACCTTCCTTTTGAACAGCTCCTAAAGAGATAGCTTGACAAGATTACAAGGAAGTTACAGGCAAAGCAAGAGTGGTAAAGAAAAAATAACAATGATCAGAGGGATCTCTGATGTTTAAATATGAGATTGCTTAACCAGTTATCGTTAAAAATTAGATCATGAGTTTCTCAGAGGAGTAAAACAAGCAACAGTTGACAATAATAAGTGCATCTGCTAGGGGTAACATCTCCTCTGTTATACACTTACGAAATTCTAACTTCAGTTTTAGGTTTATAAATACAAACCTTTGGTTTGGCCTGATGTTTAAGTACAACTGAATTCCAGTTCTCTCCACTAATATCACATAATTGTGTTTCTATATTGAGTGGCATGATTCAAAGGTAAAGTTCTGATTCCTTTGTTTCTTTTGTTCCTCCTAGCGGCATACTTGTGCTAGTGTGTTTTCGAAACCATCCGTCCATTCCTATTTTTCCACTTAGTACATCCTCCCCCCCCCCCCCCCCCCCCCACACACACATGTATACACAGAGAGAGAATACTCAACTACATTATAGCAACTGTTCTACCTTCAGTAAAAAAGCAAACCTCCACCACGCCTTTTCCCGTGATAATTCAAAGTATTTGTTCAATATGGATCATCAACTCTCCATTTTGTTTATGTTGCTATAATTTCTATGTTTTTGGTTTACCATGAGCAGATATCGTGTAGATATGAAAATCAGGAAAATTCACATGCATGATTAGTCCAAACACCAATAATTTTGAAGTCAAGTCTCAAAATTGAATTGGAAAAGTCGGGTTCTTTTCTTAGCAATGACACTGATATGATGATTCAATAGCAACACTGGTATTTACCAGGTACAGTTTGAAAATTTTCACTATGTAGTATATACACAAATGTACTTGCATAAGCTGAGAAAACTATTGTGGCATTAAACATAAAACCTTGAAAAAGAGGGATAGTGCATAGACTAAGGGGCATTATTAGAGATATTACACCGGTGACACAGAACCATTTTGGGTTTATTCCGTAAAACAAAGACCATATTTCTGCTAAGAGCATTGATGATAGGCTATAATTACGTATTTTAGTCGATTATTACACTCTAATTTACTGCACTTTAGTTGAGTTTGCGCTTTAATCGCTAGTGTTTTGCACTAATTGTTTTGCCCTGTAGGTGTGATTCCGAGCTATATAGATTTTATGGAATGAATTTAAGTGGTTTGGAGCTTTGAAGTCTGAGTAATAGCTCAAGGAATTAAGCCGGGATCGCGTTCGGGGATCAACGGATGATAAACAACAAAACGAAAACTCGAAGAGGCATATTGCGCACTGTTTGGTAAAATAGACATAACTTTTTGCTCAAAACTCCGTTTGGGCTCCATAATATATGGTTGGAAAGATAACTCAAAGGGCTACAACTTTCATGTTTTACGTTTTTCCAAATTCCAAACGGAACAGGGTGAAAACCCGCGGTTTCACCGCAACCGCGACAGAGGGCAGTCGCGGACAACTGAAGAATCTGAGAGGGTGTTTGGCCGCGGTTCCGGCGCGACCGCGGTGGAAATGCGGCAGGATGCGTAAATTTCAGGGACCAAAGTGCAAAACACGGGATTTTAACCCCTAAACCCTATATTAAACCAAGGAAGCCGGCCAAGAAAAGAGCAGGTCATATTTTTGACATAGGTTTGACCTAAGGAGGTAGAGACACAATAGAGCAAGACTTGGGAATTCTTCTACAAGTTTTTTCTTTCCTCTTCCTATTTTTCATTGTTGGTTATGACTTTTAGTATTGTAATTTTACATACTATTATGAATAGCTAATTTGTTATCTAGAGTTTTGATAGAACCTTTTGTAGAATAAATTCTTGTTATGTTTTTATATAATTGAGCCGTAGTATAATCTCTATTTGTTCAACTACGTTCTTATTGTAGTTAATTGAAGAGCTCTCAATTAGCTGTGCCTATTTAGTATGCATAACTCGGGAGAGAGTGCATATTTAGGTAATTGTTGAACAACACCACTCCCAGAGTATATGAGGGATCAATAACCGAGGGTTTAAAGGCGGGATTAGGGATAACGAAGCCTTGGGTGCGATCTNGTCCTTTTTATAAGGCATAGTTGGGCGTGATCAAGCATTCATAGAAATTCATAGAGAGGGAGGAAGAAGAATGTGTTCATCGACATATATTGTAGAGTACAGAAAAGTTGGTTCTTTTATTTATTTATTTATTTATTTGGAAAAAGTTGTTTGATGAGTGCTAGACAAGAAGAATTCCTTATTAAATATGTGAAAGAAAGGAATACACCTCATATGAAAAGCAACTCTATGTTGGGGTTATAGGTCACTGAAACATTACAATAAAAATAATAGCTCACTTTTAAGAAAAGTTTTAAAATAAACTGGGGTTGGCGAACTCTATTTGCAAGGACCCCCAAGGAATCCATATAAAGTTTAAGGGAATTTTTCTAGCAATAACAAATAGGAGACGGTGAGATCTCAAAAGAGAGTCACAATTCATGCTGGTCTATGTAGTTTATCATCATATAGGGGCATTCTTTTCATCTTTTTGTTCGTGAGTCGCATGACAAGTTCAAGCAGCAAAATGGAGTGCAAGGCATAATGCATTCCAAGATGTCAGTACAGTTGGAAACTTTTTGTAGCTTTTTGGTGTAATGATATGGACACAATCTAAGATTTCATCAGTTCCTTACAAGCTGGAACTAGGAATTGATCTTTCGTATAGCTGTACGGTTTCAGCAACATCTTAGGGTTTTTTTTTTGTCTTGTTTGGATAAGCCAACATCTTAGAGTTGTTTTCCCATTAATAAAATACATGTAATGGCAAATAAAAATGCTCAAAAGTTTTGAGCAAATAAAAGATAAAAAAGTGAGTACCACAAGAAAGAAAAGTGAGAATACACACAATTTATAGCTTTAGGGATCGTTAGGTTCACTTACTAGTTATGCAGGAATTACAGTAAAGGTTGTTTATGCGGTGACTAATATGAAGGATTATTATACATGAATTACTTACTTTAAAGGACAGTTTTGTCTTTAAATAGTTTAATCCTTCCATTGCTAATACATGTATTCTTATTCCACATTCTATCCCACATGTTAACTCGAGTATTATTTAATACCGAAACAAAATGCTGTTATGTGGCGATTATTCTTTTCTTATGCGACCAACCAAACTATTTATGCAAGAATGTATATCTTATGTGGGATTCTATGTTAGGATTAATTGCTCCAATACCACAAACAAACGACCCTTAATAACTCCCTGTTTTTTCAGAGAAGTCCAACAGAGACGTTTGGCTAAAAGAAAAGATTTGGTAAGATTGTATCCGTTTTCTCTCTATGTACACCTACTTTTGGATGGAAACTAGCATTGAGCTTCTATTCACTACATAGTCCTTTCCTTTCTCTCTTTTCTATTTTTCTCTGATTTACATCCCTCGTACTAATCCAAACACAACAACCATAACACTCCCACCATCCCTCTCCTTTATTTTGGTTCCGGTCCGGAACAAAGAGGACAATTAGACATGTTCAATGCAGGATGAACCAGCATCATCTGAAGTTAAACAGCAACTGCTATTGCTTTCATTTTTTTTTATTTCCTTTTAACAACTCCATCAAGATTTTGTAGCTCCACCAAATCATAATCCTACCACCAAGCTCCTATTTAAGCCAAGTTTGTCAAACATTGCCCTAGTCAGCCATGAATAACTAATCTGGTTTGCTAACAGGTCACCCCTACGACATGAATTTTCGTAAAACAAGTGATGATTAGGGTCCTAGAATACAAATATTAGGAGAGACAACTGGCAAAAACAAGGAAGCAATTTGAACTGTAAAGATATGCATGCATTGTGTGCATGTAAAACTCAAAGGAGAAGTAAATATACCCCGGCTTGGATGAAGTAGAAGCAGCAGCAGTATTTTCTTTTGCCTGTAAAAGAATTACACACAACACCAAATCTTAAAGTCCAAAAATAATAAAATTTACTCCCCCAGTCCCATTTTATGTGAAGACATTTGATTGGGTGCGGAGTTTAAGATAGAAAGAAAGACAGATTTCTAAACTTGTGGTCTAAAACTAGCCGGACATTTGTGTGGCTACAAGTCATATCGTCAATCGTAAAATCACAAAATAAGAAGTTTAAAGTTTGCGAAAATTGTCATTCTTTTGGAACAAACTAAAAAGGAAGGAGGGTCGGGACAAAGGGAGTACTAGTTTACTACGTACTAATTTAGGCACATTTCTGCTAGTAGACAATTACATTCATACATAAACACACACAAAGAGAGAGTGAAGATTACTAACAGCAACTGCATTAGTAATTATTTGTTCAGCTCTTCCCCCACCGCCACGTCGGTTCAAAGAATAGCTCAAACGCCCATCAGATCCGACCACACAAAAACTTCCTTTCCTCTCTGCACCAACAAAAACAAACACATGCATCAAAACAAACCCACAAATTGAACACACAAGATTCAAACTTTGGATACTAAACAAGATCCAAATGGCTCGACCATAAAACACAAAGTTTAGACAAACCCAATAATCAGAAAAATTGAACCGAACATACACAATCAATTAAACCCGAAAAAGACATAAACAAAACTAACAAAACCCAGGTTAGGAAAATAACTAAATAATTCATAAAATGCAACGAACCTGAAAAAGATCTGCGAGAATTGGCGAAAAGTGATTTCTTGGAATCCAAAGAATTGGCTGAGGAAAGTGCAGTAGCAGCACCAATTCCTTGTATAATAGCAGCCATTTAGAAAAACCCACGAATAAAACAAAACAAAGAAAAAATGGAGTATCAGATTGAGAACTCAAATGCCACCTATAACTATATATATGAATTAGGAAGGGGGCGGAGATAACAAAGTGTTTGATATGTTGGATTGGGCGATTTAATTGAAGGAAGATGAGAAAATAATATTATTGAGGGGAAAAAAAGAGTGAAGTGGAGAAGCTTTGAGCCACAATTTGTGCTTCGTTCTCATCGCCTGATTGTGTACTTGCTTATTCATTGTAATATGATGCTTCTGCTCTAAGAATGATGACACGTGTCCATTTAAAGGATAACATTGTCACTTGAGAATTTATGAAATCGTACTAATTTGCCTACGTGGTGGGATTTTAATGGTTGCTACGGATATGGGGAAAGGTTTCAGTGTAGGAAATTACTGGCAGGCTGAGCTGTCTTTGCTGGCTTAGGAGTTTGGATCAACTTGGTGATCCTACCCCAACGACCAGCTCGTTACTTGTTTAACGTACTAAAAGATCGAACTACATAAGTAAAAAATTGAATTTTTATTACATCTTCATCTATTTTAATTTTTTGCTCCTTTTAAAATATAAATAAATAATTGCTTGCATTGGTACAATTACTTGTAGCATGTTTAAAGCTATATTTGGCCCAGAGTAATTGAGTTATTGCATTCTTTTGGAACAGTTGGAAGAAGTAAATCTTGGGGCGAGCAGGACATCTCTCTTTGGCCACTATCGTGTTCTAATTAATCATTCTATGCGATTTCTCAAGTTGAGTTCAAAATTGATGATTTTGAGGGCTCGAAAGATTGTTCTACTTCAACCATGTTTTTTTTTTGAAGTTCGAATTCGCGTTGAACCAATTTGATGTCTATAAATTCATCACAAGAAATGAAAGTATTGTCCAAAAATATAAATATTGGAACAAGTGCAGCTTTGTCTAAGAATATTTTCTCCACAAACTTTTAAAGGGATTACAGCCAAAGGCAAAGAGTAGGCGAGGAAGGAAGCCGAGAAGTTGAGGAGGGATCTTCTTCTTTTTTTTAATTCTTCTCCAAAATGGCTTGGTTCAATCAAACGGGATGTCTGATCTTACTACTCTGAGCAGCTACTTCAGATGGTGATGCGAACAAGATTTTTAAAGGTAAGAAGCACAATAATATTTTCGCAATAAACAATACGTGAGCTCGTAAGAAGGGCTCCTCCACCTCTTAAGGCTTCAGGTGGTGCTCAAACAAAGACATTATCTCACTCTAGCTGTCAATTTTGCTTCGGCACACTTTTATTCCCAGATTTTTTTTACTAACATGTTTGAAAGTTGTTTACCTGTAAAACGGGACAGTTGAATGTATACGTGGTTTATAGACAAGTGAATCGATTTGATCCTAAAACAATAAATAAATTAGACAGAAATGTAAGACTTAGCCTTGAAATTGAGATAAAACATCAAATATCTTCGTTCTGGGAGAAGAGCTTCTGGAGGCAGTAATAACAATATGAATAAGCAAGAAAATAAAAGTGTTATTAAGCTTTGGATAAAATGCAGTGTATGCTAGTTAGAAAATTCGTGTCATTTACAATGTTATTAGAGCTCACTATTTATAGTTGCACCAAGGAAACAAGGTCCTAGGATCAAGCTTATCTTTAATGTCAATTATGATGGTCATTGAAGAATGTGTAATGGGAATGTCATATTCTCTGTAACGGACCATGTATTTAATACTGCAGAATATTATCCATTAAGTGGTACTGGATGGCAAGCATTTATTTCGCCCTTATGTACATTATTCTCTCCGATAACAAATGAGATCATTGCCTTCGGACCCGATTATCTTCTGTCTTTGGCTCCACGTGTCACTTTCTCATGTGATCATTTAATATGAACATATTTTACCCTATACAGATAGTCCCCTTGCTTTTCGGTGGCATAACCTTATGTCATGAGGAAGTTGGTAGAGATACCTTATTTGGCGACAAATTCTCTTTCCCCCTCTGAAAAATTTTTGACGGTTGATTAAATGCACATCTCTCCGTATTTAATGCTCCGAACACGCGTCATCCCACGATTCAGCACCACTTTTGCCGGTTATTGAGGTAATTATGGCCACGATTTTAGCCGCTTATTCCTTTACTTATACACATCAAACTTTTTCATTTACACTTGATAATTTTCAAACTTTTTCAAACTCTCAACTCATACTTGTCTTCAACTTTCTCTAACTTTCTCGTTCAAAGAAAACACTTTCCTCCCTTCTGATAACAATGGCTTCTTCTTTCAGAAACCATAGTTCCTTAAAGAACAAAGGTAAAGCTGATGATGCTGCTCCTCTTACAGTGAGCACCATAATTCCAAGAAGTCTTGTCACAACTAAGGACTTCGAAGAGAAATATCCTTCCATTAACCCTCGCACATGGGTTGTTGGCATGTATCCTTCTTCTATCTGTCCTTCCAGCATTCGTGCTGTGAAGGAAGATTGCCCATACCATGATTTAAACATCATTGCTCCTGACCTGACGAAGCGGATAACCTTACCCAAGAAGGGTTTCACATATTTTTATACGTATCCCTTCACTTTGGGGTCGTTCTCTTTGAGTGGGGAGCTTGACTCCGTTATCGTGGAGTTCTGCATCTGTTACTAGATATGTCTGGCTCAAGTAAGTCTTTCTATGTGGAGGACGGTTGCTTGTCTTCGGCGTCTATGCTAGGATACGGGAAAGGAGCTAATCCTAGCTCGATTAATAAACCTTTATTCCCCGAAAATTTTTCGCGGGGGAATGATAAATTTCAATAAAATTGGCCACCATGCCCTGCTGGCCAGCATGTATTATGACAACGATCGTGAGTAGATAGAGTGGTTCGTTGCAGTTGCCACCAAGGACATCATTCTGGCCACGTTTCCATCCTTTTTGGAATTGTGGAACCATACTTGTAAGTTCATCGTTTGTCTTTTCTTCTTAGTTAAAGAGCATCCCATGTTATTACTAATCCATCTTCTTTCACTTATTTCAGCAACTCGATGGAATCCACCGAGGGTCGAAGTCTTGGACCAGTGAGTCCAAATGATTTTGGGTGTCACTACGCCCGAGACCCGTACGTGGAAGGAACTGGCCCTTAAATATGGGTGAAAGGCCAAAAATCATGGTAAGTCAAACTCATCTTGTTTCTACCTTTCGTATAAGAAAACTGATTAACCTTTTTCTTCTGTTCAATTTAGGTCTACCCCAGGGCTCAATTGTCGTCCCCATGGAGGATGTTTTGGCTAATCATGCTGACGTAGCGAGGCTGCTACAGGAGGCTTTTACCCGAATAGGTGTCTCCGAACCTACTTTTGGTGGAAGTGCTTCTTGTCGGAGTCCTCGGCTGGAGAACAAGCAACAAAAAAGGAGACGTTCCTCCGCGGCAGGGGGAAAATTTAAAAAGCAAAAAGTATCGCCCCCGAGACGTCTTCAGATNGCGAGGCTGCTACAGGAGGCTTTTACCCGAATAGGTGTCTCCGAACCTACTTTTGGTGGAAGTGCTTCTTGTCGGAGTCCTCGGCTGGAGAACAAGCAACAAAAAAGGAGACGTTCCTCCGCGGCAGGGGGAAAATTTAAAAAGCAAAAAGTATCGCACCCGAGACGTCTTCAGATGTTGTGGTGATGAGCACCGCACCCAAGCCGGCCATAAACACCAAGGTGATCGCTGATGATGGAGAAGCCAGTGATGAAGGGGCTTCTCTACATAGAATACGAAAACCTTCATCAGCTCAATAGAATGCTCAATTTGTTGAGTTAGTTACACCAACTGAGGACGATGCCTCGGCACTGTGGGGGGAAGAATGATATGGTAGAAAATGCTAACTCTTGTTTTTGAGTCCCAGTTGTCGTGCCTAGTACCATGAGGCTGAGCATCGGGTCCCTTCCATTTTTGATTGACTCTTAGCCAAGAGACTGCCCAGTTACGGGTGCAATTTGAAGAGATTGGGTCCAAATGGGTTGAAGTCCATAATGTCGTTCTTGTTGCATCTGATTGTGAGGTTGCCTCTGTAGAAAGATTGAATAATTTGGAGGCAACCATAAACTCCAAAACTGAAGAAGTTAGTATTGTCGAGGAAAAGTATGCCCGGTTGGAGGGGAGGCATAAGAGGGTCATATAGCACAATAAAGTTTTCAACTCTACTATCTGTGACTTTGATATCAGCCTCCGGGCTGCTAGATCCGCGCGGGATGACCTTTCTATCATGTTTGACCAACTTAAAGAAGAATTTCAGCACCGAGCGGCTTCCCTTATTTTTGAAAACACATATTCTATGTACAACATGAGGATAAAAACCTTAGAAGAAGCCAAAGCGTATGCCATTAACTTTGATGCCAAAATCTCTTAGGCCTGTGAGCTGGAGTCAAATGCTCGAAGGGGTCTTCTGGTCCGGCTTGATGCTACCGACTCTTCTAGTTCTGGTTCCGAGTTCTCAGGAACTGAAAAAGAACCCAAAGGTGATGCTGTTGAAGGACAAAATGTTGAAGTCCAAGCTATTGAACCGGTAGCGGATCCACCTACTTTTCCTGGGGGCAGATGCTTCTCTACATCTAGGTTCCGGAGATGTAGCAACTTAGTTTTTGCTTTCCTTTCCTTTTCATATCATTGTACTTGTGTTGTTTGGCACATTTATTGTGAATAGAAGCTTCTTTCGTTCAACTATCATTCAATAATTTTTTGTTTTTGCGTATTTTTATTTAGGTATTCTTGCAAGTTTTCCGCATCGAGATATGCGAGGCTTCGGGTGTATTTTTCCCCGGTAATATTTGGCTTCCGGGAACAAGTTCTTCGGAAATCAACTCTTTAACGTGAGGGTTTCATAAGAGAGGGCTCTTATGTTTATGGTGCTTAGGGATGGCAACAGGGTGGGGCGGGTTTTGTTTGATGTTGGGCAGGGCGGGTTTACTCTTATGCGGGTGCGGGGCGGGGCGGGGCGAGTTAAAATAGTTTTTAAAATTTTTAAAGCGGGCGGGGTGGGTTGCATTTTAATGAGGGTTCAATGCGGGACAACTTTGAATTTTATCTTTTTTGAAACAAAGCAATCATTACAACTACAATTTCACATTCTTCTTCACTAGCACGAATACTATTTTGGCAATTAACACATCCTCCCGCAACTATTGTCAAGCAAGCCATTGTTCTTGCTTAATTTTGGGAATTAACACATTCAAAATTGATAAAATACAAA